GTGCTGGACGAGACCTAAGATTGAGCCCTAACCACTTACCTAGGAGACTTTTAAATGAAGAACTCCTTCCTCTGCTCCTCATGGTCTCAGCTCTCAGAGGAAAAACTTCTTCCAGAGCCCTGCATCCTGTCTGCCACCTCCAGGGCCAAGTTCTGAAGTCAAGACATAATGCTTTAGTCCCCAGGCCTAGAAAACAGCTCTGAACTCTTAGCTCTTATCCTTTCTGAGAATCAACAGGACTCTCAGGAGGAGCCTGCCCTCCTCTCCATCCAGTTCCGGGTACCACTCTGTCCTGATCATCCAACACGGGAGGACACAGCTTTGCATGTCCGTCCTCTCTGGGTCTCCACCTTCCCTGACCTCACCTTTCTTCTTCTGCTTTTGGTTCGCTGAAATCCTTTGTCTTATATTCCATTTTCCCATATTCATTGGATCCTTCTAAGTAGGCTTGCAAATACGGGTAAATTTCTCTTTAATTAAAAGTTACTTTGGTTCTGTTCTCCTTAAGGGTAATCATTTCTTTGCTTCACCTTAAATTTTTTTTTGACAGCTCATTGTGAGAGAACCACAAGCCTCATGGTGATACATGGATTAGTAAAAATGGGTTAATTCAAGGTGTAAGAGTTAGCTAGAAATATGCATGAGCTAATTGGCCAAATAATCTTGCAATTAGTATGGTTTCTGTGTGATTATTTCAGGTTTGGGAGGCCAGGAAATGAACAAGCAGCTTCGTCTACAGCTGTTCTGGAATTCACTCTGTAGATGAGGCTGGCCTTGAACTCACAGAGATCTCTTTGCCTCTGTTTCCTGAATGCTGGGATTAAAGATGTGGGCCATCTCTGCCAGGCTTTAATTCTCTAGTAATGGACAAGAGATGGGGAATGGAAGCATCTGGCTTCTTGACTTGTGGCTGTGTTCCATAGTCTGTTTGTGGATCTTCTGGCATAGATTTTCCTGTCTCGTCTCCAACTTAGCTTATCTTACTTCATTTCTTCCTTCTCTCAGGTTTTCTTTATGTTGTTTCTGTATTCATGATACAGGCACCTGTCTTAAAAAGTGTAATTGGAAAAGCAGAAACCAAAAAAGATGCATTTTTCCTATAGAGGATAGATTCCTTGAGGTAGTGGGACCAGATACTGTATTGTAGCCAGAAAGAAGAGTATAACTTCTTAGAAAGTGCTCTGAAGTTGGGAACTGTGACTTAATGTTCTGTTTCTATCAAAACTGACTTGTAAGTTCAGAGCGTTGGTGAAGGCGTTTTTTTTTTTGTCTGAACCACATTCTTCCCTCTCAAGAAGACTAAATGTAAGTTCTCTCTCAGAACTGAATTAAGGCTTCTTAGAAAACAGCTTTCTTCCCCTTTTCCCTCTTTTTCTTTATCTGGAGGCAGTTTTCCTTCTTTGCTTTGAAGAAGAGTTTTTAAACCCTGGAATTGGGAAGCATCTTAAGTGTTACAGTTTTTCAATCTCTGGGATAAAGTAATGCTTTGATTTTCTTCATTATCACTATCTCCTCTGCATAAAAGCATCCGCGGTTTCTTGGACATACAATGGCTCAGAACAATGAGGAAGCTGACTCACAATCTGGTTTTATTGCTCAGCACAAAGCTGCAAACTTAAATGTTGATAAGCGTTAGCCAAGCAATCGAGGCAAATAAGGAGACCAAGAGTTGGGGTCATAGGGACTATCAGAGCCGTGGAAACAGGTGAATCCATGCTCTACAAATATGGGCTTGCCGCTCCCATCAAACATCAGCTGGATTCAGTAAAGGTACAGCTACTTGTGGCAAAGAGCCATGGTCTTTAGTGAGCTGTGTTCATGGAAAACAGACATTTGTGTTACCAGGAAGTACGGGTTGGGTAACTCATACATTTACAGTACATGTGGCTATTTCCTCAAGCATGTGAAAGTGTGGTCCTTACAGGCCTTCCTGCCTAGATACCTCAGTACTTACTCTTCCATTTGTCTTTAGAAGCATACTCAGAATTATTTATTCTGACAATTTTCCATCTTATGACTAACCCTTCCTGAAAATCTTTTCATTTGGATTGTCCTCCCAACTACAGAAGTACTTGTTTTTGAATGTTTCAGATTTTCTGGAGTTTAATTCTACACCAACAAAGAACTTTACCCATAAATCTAACTTGAATCAGCATGGGCTCTGTCCTCACATTCCCCATCCCCCAAGACAGGGTTTCTCTGTGTATCAGCCATGGCTGTCTTGGAACTTGCTTTGTAGACCAGGCTGCCCTTGAACTCAGGGAGATCGGCCTGCCTCTGCCTCCTGCGTTCTGGGATTAAAAGTGTGTGCCACTATCGCCTGTTTGTCCTAACATTTTGTGGTTGGTGGAAAAGATTAATTGATCATTGTTCCCTTTGTGACATTCTTTTTTTTTAAGATTTATTTGTTTATTATATATAGTGTTATGTCTGCATATATGCCTACTCACCAGAAGAGGGCACCAGACCCCATTACAGATGGTTGTGAGTTACCATGTGGTTGCTGGGATTTGAACTCAGGACCTCTGGAAGAGGAGCCAGAAGCCAGTGCTCTTAACCTCTGAGCCATCTCTCCAGCCCGACAGTCTTTATATAAGTAAAAAATAGCCAGTGCCCCAAACTGTACAAGTCTGCAGTTATTTTCCTATCTATCCATATCTATCTATCTATCTATCTATCTATCTATCTATCTATCTATCTATCTATCTCTTCACCTACCTATCATCTGTCTAATCTATATCTATCTTATCTAGCTAATCTATTATTCATCTATCTGATCTATTTTATCTGTCTAATCTATCATCTATCTATGTATCTATCTAATCTATCATTTATCAATCTATCTAATCTATCATTTATTTATCAATCTATCTAATCTATCATTTATTTATCAATCTATCTAATCTATAATTTATTTATCAATCTATCTAATCTATCATTTATTTATCAATCTATCTAATCTATCATCTATTATCTATCTATCCTATCATCTATCAATCTATCTAATCTATCATCCATCTATCTATCTATCATCTATCTATCTATCTATCTATCTATCTATCTATCTATCTATCTATCTATCTATCTATCATCTATCTTTGTGTGTGCACACACACTCACACATATGCATGCCATGGCCCATGTGAAGAGGTCAGAGGATCCTTACAGGACTGTTTCTCTCCTTCAACTAATTGGGTTCTGAGTATTGAACTCAGGTTGTCTGGATTGCAGCAAGTGCCTTTTCTGATGAGCTATCACACCATGCAGGTCCACGTCTGCAGACTCTTATTATGGGCTGTTTCCCCGTGCTCTGATAATTGTAATTGCTTTCTTCTGAACTCTCTCCAATCTGTACACTAAAAGAAATAATATTCTGAACTCTACCCAGTCCTTTTCTGGGCTGATTGAGCTGGCTAGATAATACTACCATCTTATTGCTTTTTTCAGAGATCCCACACATTCAAGGTACAGTCTGTGACCTTAATATTTTTTTTCCAGCAATGGTAGTGTTGTAGCTAGGATTTCTTCATATCTTATCCACACAATTCATTTTGCATTTCTAAGTTTGCCACTCTTTACTCTCAGCTAATAAGACTCTATCTTGGTTTCGGTGGGCTGTTCCTAACTGGCTTATCAAGTTACTTGGAACATTATTGTATTTCAGAAAAACTAGAAAATTTCACCTATTTTATAGCCACAAGATGATTGATTTAGAACCATCCTTCCTTCCTTCCTTTCTTCCTTTCTTCCTTCCTTCCTTCCCTCTTTTTGTGATGTAGTGTATCATGTAGCTGAATATTTTCAATTTCACTGTAAAGTTATTGAAAAACAATAAAACAGCAAACCTCAACTGTTTTGAGCCAAGAAGTCTGGATGATGGTACGTGTGCTCATGCATGTGATGTACATTCATGTTCATGTGTGTGGTGCACATGTGTGCTGGCGCATGTGCCAATGTGTGATGGTGCACATGGAAATGAGAGGTTGATACCAGGTGTCTTCCTTGATTTGATCCCTGTCCACTTTGTTGACTGAGTTGGGGGCCTGCAACTGAAGCCAGAAATCACTATTTGTCTCATCCAGCTCGCCAGCTTGCATGGGGTCTTCCTCTTTGCTTCCTGGGTCTTGGGAGCGGTGAGACCCCAGATCCTGAATTTCTTGTAATCCCCTGATCTTAGTGCCTACAGCTGCTCTGAGCACGAGACCTTCAGGAGTTCCTGATGGCAGGAGAGTGGTTTCTGGTGGGTTTGGCTAGGGCATGGCTATCTATCCCTATATAATCTGCCCCTGAACACAATAAAGGGGGCATTCTTGGGGAATTCAAGGATGACCCGTGTCGCTGTCTCTCTGTCTGTGTGTGTCTGTGTATTTTAACCTCCAGCCCCCTTGCCCAAAGCTCGCAAACTGGGTGCCAGCGCACAGAGTGCAGACACGGGGATGTGGTACACGGCACTGGGTGCTGGGATAGGCAGGACCAAAGCACCCACCAAGCTCTTATGTAGGCTTGGGATGTGAGCTCAGTCTTCACATTTGCACAGCAAAGACTTCATGCACTTCCAGCTCCTGCAGCTCACCCAAGGTTTATTAAGCCTGTGTGTGTGTGTGTGTGTGTGTGTGTGTGTGTAACAGTTTTCCTGTTACTAGGCATTTCTTAAAATTCTGTGAAAGTTGATAGCACAGTTTCTTGTTTAGTTGTAGAAACTAAACTTGAGTGATTTGGTACAAAAACTCATGGGTGATGGTTACTTCTAGCGGAGAGAAGACATTCCACATGTTTAATACATGTCTATAGTTCAGCAGCACCATAGTTTACAATTTTTAGTAAGAGGCTGAGAGAATAGGAGAAACTTAAGATCAAATATAAATGATATGTTGTGACTATCATACAGCTACTGCTTGTATAGGACTTTGAGGCTGTCTATCCTTTTATTTAAATTCAGTAGTCAGTGTCCTGTTTAATATATGAGCATAAGATGCATTTTTTTGTTATTGTCATTACAGGTTTTGGGAAGTGACCATGAAGACTGAAGAAGTTACATTTTTCACATGATAATTGAAGTTAATGACTACCTACAATATTTTCATGAAAATTAAGTATGACTTAGAAGTGTCAAAGGTTTATGATGTCATCAGTTTCAACAGAAAGCAAACTTCAGCAGGCTGTCAGCCTGAAGGGAGTTGACCCAGAAACATGCATGATTGTGTTTAAGAACCACTGGGCACAGGTAATAAATGACCTCCATCTCCTCTGCTGGTCTCCTCTGCTGAGCCTCCCCCCACCCCCAGTTTCTGCCACACTGAGCCAAGATTTCCTACTTGGTGACAGTCAGCTGACTTTCTAGAAAACTCATTATAGGACAGGCTCCTTCAGTCAAGAGAAAAGCAGATTTTTTTTCCTGATTTCCTATAGTATGTATCAGATTAAAACATTGTTTCCACAAAGGACTGGCTTTGGAAGCATTTAATAAGTCCTGTGTTGAGTACTTCAAATGTTCTGTAATTAATATAATTTATATTAAATCTATCATTTAATCTTCTCCAGAAACTAATAAGGCACTTAGTAGAGAATGGAAAATTATGCAGGTCAAATGGCTGTCTGGAGGTTCTGCCGTCAGTGAACCTTGGTACTCAGACCTCAGTGCCTTGAATACAAAACCCGCGGGTCTGACTTCAGTACCCTGCCTTTGTCAGACCCCATACGATGTAGGGGGATCTGCCTGGCTATGCCTGAGTCCTCATCTCCTCTACTGAGCACATTAGTGTTTGTGGATGGTTCATTTCGACTTCTTGGGGCTTTCCTCTGATCTGCTGGTGTGGATAATTAAGGGTTGAATGCTTAGAAAATTTACCAGTCTGCCCCTTTCCTCGGGGAGCTTGCAGGTAGTAAAATAAAAAAAAAATGGTATTCTTTACTACTTGTCCAGCGTTATACTCCCCAGGTGAGCTGGTAAGTGGCTATTTATGTGACAGTTTTTTAATGACTACCAGGTTCCTTCCTGTGTCCGGAAAGAACACATAGGTTAAAGCCCTGAGACTGTAAATCACAGCAATTATGGGGGACACAGTTTAGATCAAAAGGGGCAAAATCAATTCTGCTTCTGGATTGTTCACACTTTGTAGTTGCTTTTCACTGTCTAGTGTAAAGCTTCTATGGTTTTCTTCTGCTCTCCCATTACTCTGAGTTATTGTTCAGATTTACTATATTCTCCACTATAGTGAAGGACAGAAATTCAGAACTATTCTTGATAATTAGATAACGGCCTTTGGTCTTGCACTTTTTAAAGCATTTTAAATCAATGGCTTCAGAGTCGGCTAGTGGACCCTGAGAGTTGTGACCAGCAGTCCTCAGAAGACCTGCTTCTATCTTTACCTGTTTGGACCATGTATCATTGTGTGCTTATCCCATGTGCAATGTGTCTGTGTATTGCTGCATGCTCGTCTATTTTATTTACTTAATTATTTATGCCCATTCTCTTGAGTGGATTGCCACACTGATGGCATTTCCAGCTTACCGTTCATTTGGCGGATGGAGTTTCCCTCTGAAATGTGGAACCTCTGCTCTGAGGCCTGCTGTGTGTGTGTACTACGTTTGATCATGAGCATTCCTTCTGGTTCCTGTAAAGGGATCCATTTGGCTTTCTGCGCTGCTCTGAGAATCACAGATACACCACTGACCTCGTGACTCTGTGTGGGTAGATTATCTCTCCTGCTCAATCTGGTTTCTTTCTCCCAAGAGCAGCCAGACTGCTGCTAGAATGTCCTGTGTGAGGAATGTGTCCGTCTTCTTTTCACATTGTTGAGAATAAATATTATCCCCAGAATCCTATTAGTCAGTTCCATGTCTGCTATGAATGACTTCAGCATTATCAGATACTGGGGGTTATTGGAGGCACCATGCAGGTGCTTAGCACCCTCCTCTTGAAATATATTGAGCTGAAGATGAGAATATCTTGTCAGAGGAAATGATGTTAGTCATTAAACAATTCCCTTTATAAGTGAGCATGTCTTATGATAGTTTAGCCACTTCCTTAACTTTAGTTGGGTTTCTTTTTAAGAATGAAATAAAAGGCCTTTTTAAAAATTAATCTCTTTAGACTTAGCTTTTCCTTCTAAATACATCTAGAAAATGCTCTTAGTCTCTGTCTGCAGAGACTCTGTGGGCCCTCCTATCAACTGTATGAATGATAATATTGGTTGAAAAATAGATGCATGAGGGTATCTAAGTAGCTATTTTCCCTTAGAGGTTGAGTTAGCGAACAATTCAAGGATATTCCTGGAGCATGCTTAGGGGGACAGCTACAGGAATTAAGTCAAGAAAAGGGGATGCTATTGGTGTGAGTGGTGAAGAAAGTTGTAGTTTGGACAGTCTGGCTGTGGAAAAGTTTTCATGTCAGAGGAAGGGATATTGGTGATGAATGGTCAGTTTTGACTTTTCTGTTGGTGAGAAAGAAGGTGGGGGAGGCAAAAACTGAGGGCAAGGCAGAGATGTGAGCTGTGAGCCCCTCAGCTGTTATGACTGGGTTGTGCATCCGTCTCTGGACTTGACTCTTCACCGTGACTTCTGCTGGGGTAGCTAACGGCACACTCAGGGGAAACAATCTCATCTGTGGCATGTGTACCTCTGTGCCTACTGTGACTACAGCCCCCAACTTCCCCAAGGCAACCAAGGCAACCTGAGAGGCCTCTAGGAAATGTGGCAGAGTCAGGACTGAACAGCCACACGGTATTTATCGGCTCAGTACAATACTTTTGTATACCATAAATTAGGAAAAATGAAGGCAGCAAAAGTCTGTGCTATCTAGAATTCATCTTTGTTAGGCTACTTCGGTGTAAATTCAACATCACTGACATGCATTTGACAGCCTCTGGTATACTATTTATGAGTTGCTTCTACGCCAGAGCTCGAGTTACAGAGCTAACATGGATGGAGAGAGAAGGGTGGCTGCTTTCTATCTTGGCCTCTACTGTCCAGGGCAGCTAGCTCTATAACTAACTTGGGTCATATCTAAGGCAGTCCATCATTCCATGGCTGAGACCTTAAGTGGCTTGGTAGTATACTTGAATTTCCAAAACCCCCCCTGGCCATGATGTCATGATAGAAGGGTGCTCTGTAGATACTCAGGAGTAACCTTCCTAATAGTGACATTGGAGAATGTAGGTTTAGGAAGCTGGCCTGGCCCATGCTTCCTCTCACCTTCTTGAATGTTCATCTTGTATCTTAAATCACCAGAATAATAGACCTAAGATCCAGATCTATCTGTTATAGGTCTATCTAGTTGGATGTTCCAATGGCATAAGCCCACCCACAGGCCAGGATGGCACAGACAGTTCCTTAGATCCTAGCTTCTGAGACTGCGGAAGTGAAGTTGCTCGGCATGTGTGTCCACCATCATCCCTGGGAATTGTCCTGTCGTCCCATGCCTCTGTGCGCAAAGTGCTCGCTGCTCTTTCTGCTTAAGTGCTCCTCCGTCTGGTGAAATGCTGCTTCTGCAGGACACATCCGGGATATCATTTCCTGCAGACACTTTCTCTTCTCTCTCTCACGTTTTCTCTCTGTGGTCACCTTCGCCACATGCTCTCTTCTCCTGTTCCATGAGACTCCTTATCTTACAACGGTATATGTAGCTTCTCTCCAACATCATTGAGAAGCTCCTGAATATCAGAGGCTTTCAATGATGTATTTGTGTTTCTAGAGCCCATAACAGTGTGACATATTGTATGTAGTATGACATCAGTCAACAAACTGCTGAACAGCAAGGAGGAATAAGAAACACGACTTTAGAAGACCCAGGCAATTTAGGAAGCCACTTTAAAATGCACTAACTTTAAACCACTGTATAATATGCTTCTAAAAAGATCTTTGAACTTGCCTTTAGGGGTAAGGATGAATATGTATGTACCTGTGATAGATTTCTATAGTCATTTGCAAAAACAATTTATAATATGGCAGGTTATTGGTTTTTTTTTTATTATGTATACAATACTCTGTCTGTGTGTATGCCTGCTGGCCAGAAGAGGGCACCAGACCTCATTACGGATGGTTGTGAGCCACCATGTGGTTGCTGGGAGTTGAACTCAGGACCTTTGGAAGAGCAGGCAATGCTCTTAACCACTGAGCCATCTCTCCAGCCCCAGGTTATTGCTTTTTATCTCCTCACTATCTTCGCATTTTCAGAGCGGAAGAGGGTTCAAATGGAAGGGATCACTGGCTTATCGGATAATAGATTGTTCAAGTAGACTGGCTGGTGAATTATACCACCTACCTATTGGTTACTTTCAATGATGTGCTTATACTTCGTGACTACGTGGACCTTGTAATAGTCACTGTGTCCTTACTTTTTTTTAAGCAGGAGAACAGAGGAAAGGGGCAATTGGAAGAAGCTAGGCAAGGAGGTTTATGTCTGTATGTCTGTATTTCTAGTACTTTTGACCTCAAAAGCAGGAAGATCAAGAGTTCAGAGTCAGACTAGGCTATTTAGTGAGTTCCAGGCTAGATTGGTCTACATAGCAAGGCCATGTCTCAAAAAATAAACAGCAAAACAAAAAAATCATTTATATCCACCTAAAAAGTAACGTAGGTGTTCTTTTTACCAAAAATGTTATACTCCAAAAAAGCTGTTTTGAGATTTTTTTTTATTTCATAGCATTTATTTATACTTTGTGACTATATGGATCTTTCTCTATTATATACAGAGAAAATTATTAGCAGCCAGGCAGTGGTGGCACGGATCCCAGCATTTGGAAAGCAGAGACAGGCAGATCTCTGTGAGTTCAATGCCAGCCTGGTCTACAAGAGCTAGTACAGGACAGCTAGGGCTGTTACGCAGAGAAACCTTGTCTCAACAAAAACAAAAACAAATAAAACAAACAAACAAAATATTAGAGAAAGCTGGGCATGACAGTACCGGTCTACAATGCTAGCCTTTGGGTGTCTGAGGCAGGAGGATCACGAATTTAAGGCCAGCCTGGACTAATAGTGAAAACCTGTGCAAAAGCAAGCAAGGAAACATCAGGACCATATGACAGTCATGACACTTGAGGAGGAAAGAACAGTGGCTTTTCTGTCTCAGGATGGGACGGCAGTGAGAAAAAAAGGTGGAGGCCTGTAGATTGTTTGTGTTAAACACCTTTCCACGGCAGTGAGAACCAGAGGCTGGGTCTTAGGGCGAGTACAGTGTAACACTCGGAGTACTCCGAATCCGTTAAGAAAATCTAGGACATAATG